GGGGAATGCAGGGCCCCGATCTCTCCTGGGGGCTGGGGAGCTCTGGCTGGAGAGGGGGATGAGTCTCCTTTGAAGTGGGGGAGTCCCTGCCTGCAGGTACCTGCTGTCTGGGAACAGGGAAGCTGCAGCCGGCTGGCCCAGGGCTGGGCTGCAGCGATGTTTTAACAATCGCCAGGCTCCGGAACCCAGCTGCCGCGTCAGCGCCGGGCCTCACGGTTCTAGCATTTCAGGGAGATTTTATTACTTTGGAACGGGCAAGAGAGCCGCATGTAACAAATTAGGGCAGGGGTGGGGGTGCGGCCGGTGGACCCACGTGCCAGGCCTCTGAGCCGCCACCGATGCCACTTCTCAGGGTCCCCCCTTTTCTCTGGCTGAGCGGGTGTGTGACGCTCATGCACGCACGGCCTGTGGGCGTTCAGGGGAGGAGTGAGGGGCAGGACCTCCGTGTGGGGATCACGCCTGCAGGGACCCTCCTTCCCCCGGTGTCCAGCTGGGATAATGGGGGGTCTTCTGCTGCAGGTGGAGTGGGGGTGCGGTGGAGAGTGGACCCAGATGCCAAGGAGGATGGCGTCCCCTGCTTGTGGCCGGGGCCCTGGCTGATTATTTACATTTATTACACCTAGTTGGGGGTTACCCAAGCCTTGTAAAAGCCATGCATTTATTTATTTACTTATTTCTTTAAAAAACCTTTATTGTTGAAAGTATTCCATATGGCTCCCCCTTCCCCCCCTCCCCCATTGACTCCTCCTAGTCCAGCCCAGCCCTAAGCCATGCTTTTTATTTCCTGAGTCTCCCCACTCATCTCTCTTGCTGTCCACCATACCCAGGCGGCCGGGGGCAGGTCAAAGGCCAGGGACCGAGCCCAGGCATTGTGCTCGTTGTTAATCGTAGTGGTGCTGGCAGCGCCCTTCACTGAGCACCTGCTTTCTGCCAGGCACCGAGCAGGCGCGCTGCCCAAGGATCCCTGCCACCCCGCTTCGCAGATGCGACAGGGGCCCCAGGCCCCGGCCCCAGGCCCCTCACTGGAGCTGGGCGGGATGCGGAGCCCAGTTTGGAGGCAGAGGTTCCAGCCGCGCCGCCCACACCCACTACAGCTTTCCAAAGG